GAGCGACTGAATGAGAAACCGCTCTGATGATTTTGCGTCCTACCTAGGCTCACCTCTGCAGGACTCGCCTGCAGCTAGGCACAACGCTCGAGAGAAAAGTTAAGCGGTCTGCCTACATTGCAGGGGCGATTTCTCCACGGATTTGCTGCACAACCCCATTTATGCATTAGCATACTATTTCTCATCGACAGAAATATGGAACAATACCACTCTAGAACTATGTTACGAGTTCATATAGGCAGCCACAAACAATTAAACGAATTGTCTTTCATTTTCGAAAGCGTTTACTGGACTATTTTGTTTGTAATGTGAGTAAACAAAACTACAACATGCACTTGACCGTGCCTAAGAAAAGTGTTATCTCAAGTGTGGAGTAATTAGGACACGTTTGGAAGTAAACATTTCGTTAAGACGGTCCACAAGACAGCAGATGCATGAAGTAAACCCCTTTCTTTGGTCGTGAAATGAACGGCTTCGTCCGCCTGTTCAGACATTTTCAGTGCTCACGCATGGAAACTAGCGCTTGCCTTCACTGCTTATCGATCGGAAAGTGTTTCTTTGCGGAACACGTACGGCAAAAAAGCCAAGACCATCCGAAGCAAATGAAACAGGCTGCCTCCTCGCGTATTGAGAATGATCCCAAGGGAATATACTACTTGTAAGTTCCAATGAATTTGTGCTGAAATGGATATTTGTGCACGAAGGGCGATATAATAATGATCGAGCAGTGACAAAATGCCCTAGGGCCTTTGGCCTGAGGACGTTTTGTCGTCCGAGATCATTACAAGTGGAACCAGTTAACACCCGTGGTACTTACATAGTTTTATTTTTTTACCTCATTTTATTGATCCCGACGAATTAACTAGATGTTAACGTAACTCGGTTTCTCATTTCATATTTCCTTCTTATAATTCCCTCCATAACTCATCCAACTGTTTTCCCTCGTAACCACGATCCTTTCGATCCAGGAAAGTTATGCTGTGTATATCGAGTTCCCTGTCGGAGGCACTAACAAGCAACAAAGTAAAAAGACAAGAGTAAAAAGAGAGAGTAACAAGAGTAAAAAATGAAATAATGCACGCAATTCTTACAAGTGCCTGGTCGTACTCATTTTAAAATGCCTAACTCGATGCCTGTCGCAGCTTCGTCCGTAAATATTAAATCCATATGTCTCATTTTCTGTACTGGTAACTTAAATAACCACTAATTTGTGTGAAAATAGACGAGCCCAAATTTCCTCCTTCATCACATGGGGTTCTCTAAATGGCACATTGCTAGTGTGGTGTGTAGGTTTTCCATATTTTGCGAGTAAAAGTTCTGTTCTGATATCGTCAGACAGTTTCTTTCGCTTCGAGTATCCGTCAAGAATTTTACAGTACTCCTACTTCACTCACATTTCGCAATGAGTTCACGGTCAGCTTTTGCAGCAGCGTAACGAACACAAAGAGGGCTCGTTTGTCGTCCCAGATCATTCGAACCAGTTAACGCCCGATGGTGCACACAATATTTGATTTTTTTATATTATTTTAATGATTGATTCACTTTCTAATTCACTTATGTTAACTTTAACTAGTGTGCTTTTTCACACTTCCCTCATATTCCCCTCCATAAGATAACATGTAGCGTCATTTTACTATGTCCATAACCAGGTAACCACGATCCTCTCAATGCAGGTTACGAAGTGTGTATATCGAAGGCGATAACGTATAAGTACACAATAAAACCATTAATCGAATTGTCATTTTCGCGTGGTTATAGTTAAGAATACAGAGATACAACATTGTATACTTAGTGGTAGCAACTTTTAACCGGGTTGAAAGTGTTGCTCGAGGTTCTGCTGTTTGCGCTTTTACTCGGAAGTTTTTAGAGTGTCTGTTCAATGTAAATGTAACTGTCAACTAGGGACTAGGGGACAGATTTACTTTCATAATTTCGGAACTTTCCTGAACATTTCTTACTTTGTATTTTTGTGGAAGGAATACGATTATTTCACTTCCTAATGCACCGATAATAATCAATGTAACAACCGAAAAGTCGGGTTCGTATGTTTATCTATCGGGGATTATCTATCAGGGGCGGATCCAGAAACCAATTTTGGGAGGGGAAATTAAAAATGTTTTGGACGAATTTGTCAATATAGATTTTGTAAAATGTCGCAGGCTACACTCAGCTCGTGCTGGGATACATTTTTTTCGTTTTAATGATACTCCGAAAATATTTTTCTTGGAAGTTTCAAGTTAAAATTAATATTTACTGAAAAATGTTAGGGAGGGTAGCATTTCCCTCACTTCTCCCCCCCCCCTCCCCGTGGATACGCGTCTGTATCTATCACATAAAGGGAATATATGTGACGATTATATGAATACACATTTTTGTACAACTTTTGAACTACTGCAGTGAACTCGATCCTGCAGTGATCTCGACATAGCGATCACTCCAGAATTTTGCACAAATGCGTTTGAGCGGACGGGAAAAAACGGGTGCGCCAAGTGAATCAAGCCCCTTCATACCAAAAATGCGTGTTTTTTATACAAAATAAAATTAAATGTGTAAACCCCAGCGGCTCCAGATGGCAGGATCGGACGGCAGTGCAAGGGATGCAAGCAGGAGGCGCGTGCGGGGCGAAGTGGTAGAAAGAGGCGCTGCAGAGCCGGACGGGGCTGGGCGGAGTGATTAAAGTGACATTTTATTTTTCCTTTTATTCACTTTTACGGCTAGGCACTATTTTTAAACACCTTACTGACTTTCATTTTAATTCAAGTAAACATATTACTTCATTGTGCACCTTGTTGCATTGAGTTCCGTTGTACCTGATCAGACGAAAGTATTTTGTTTCTTCGGCTGCATTTACATTTATCTGAACATTTGAGCATTCACCTCTAGCACAAGTACTAAATATTTAACTTTTAGCACGCTGAGCATGATCAAAAAGTAACCGTTTTTTACTAGTGACTCTAAAAAACAAATTAGACGGCAACGTCGCCTTATGAAGGCGTCAATTAATATAGTGTATGTTAATATATATTGTGAATAAATAAAATTGTCCAGACTTTTGACCACCTAAATATATTATACATTTGTACCAATTTCCCGAAGAACAAATCAAATGTAAAAGGAGACTATTTTATGTTCAAGATCGAACTTTCAAACTGGATGTTCTTTTGAAGAAAATGGATAAAACAGAAAAAGATATAGGCATGACAAAGATTACTTTTTTTCAATACGTAGCGGTTTTTTATTCATATTCGGTTCTTGAACTTCGCGTGACGGAATAGAAATTTGTTTCAGCTTCATATAATCATGTTTTGCGGATCAATACAGAAGATACAAAGATAATTTCTCTTAAAAAACAAAAATTTTAGTTTTACAACTAAAACGCTCCTTGGGTGACTGACAGCACTTAGCGAGGTGATCATTAACTCATACGATTCACTTCAAAAAGAAAAACGTAACTCGTATGCGGTTCTCTAGGATATTCATGTACATTTCTAAAAATATAACTCGTTATTAATGATTTTAATTCACTTACGAGTACATTGGTGTAACACTGTGAATTACTATACTATTTCTGGCATTTACGTAAATCGTTACGAATATTCATCATATTGGCGATAATTAACCATAATTTTGAAATGAAATAAAAATTTAAACACGCATTTCAATCGATACCTCTTAATGTAACTTTTCCCGAAAATGAACGAACCTTAGTTTAATATATATATATATATATATATGTTTATTATGAACTTGCAAATCACTATTTTTTTTATTTATTTATTTTTGGTACACCAGCATTATATATAGCCTTTTCTGTTGCAAGAAATAGTTCATAAAAGGGCATTTTACGACACGAATAACTGCGTCATCACAAGTTCAGCCCATCGCAGCGAGAGAATCGTGGGTAGGTAAAGGTAAACGGAACAGCCGACCATAGTTTTCTCGCACTGGTGTCAAATATCCTAACTATCACAAAGTTGTTTCGCAAAATTAAGTTTGATTCTATTATAAATGTATAATGTTGTTATACAAAACAATAGCGTATACAACTCGTTTTTTCTAATGTGGCCCATGACATTAGGACATTGTTACACACCCTGCCTTATAAAATGAATATTTTTAATCAATTCACGGACGTCCTTCTCAACGGGACTCGTGACTTCAAAAATGTGCTTATCACTGTTAAAAAGATTCGTTCTATAAGGCAAGAGATATAAAATGACCTAATGTCATGGGCCACGTTGGAAAAAACGTAATATACAATGTTGTTTTATTGCATTTGTATAAATTTGAAAACTCGCTCCTAACGTCATTCGATTTTAAAACATTTACTTATGCAATAAAGCATAACAATATAAATAATTGCATAAATTACTATGAACATGAAAATACCCACCGAAAGTAACATGCTTAGTTATTTACAAAAATTTTAATGCATATATATGTGTGATTAATTCATCCCTCAAAACACAACATACGGGGAGACCGAGACACCTCTACAAACAAATTGGCTATCACCAGTCCAATGACAGCATATCCGGCTGCACTAATGATTGCAAATTATTTTACCCACAATTTCAAAATACATTAATTGAAAATTAGTATTTAAAAAACGGATAAGCTCTATGATCAACACGAGGCCAATAATCTTGCCATCTAGTGGGCGTCCGCGAAACTGCCGGTCGGGTGTCAGGGTCAAGCAACTAGGTCGCAGGACCGCGATCGAATCCTTGCATCGGGCAGGCAGCGCCGGCTGACGCCAAGGTCACAGTACTGCAAACCGTTCCGAATTTTCTTCTAGCTACACATACAAGTGGCATGCATATATCTGAAGTAGTAACCTCCGCAGTTGCGTTTCCAACGAAGATTTTTTGAAGACAGGCGTACATACTGCTATTCTAGTACGACGAAACCCGAGTATCAATTCATGACATGTAGGATTTCTGCTTCTAGAATTAGACCGAAAAAACACAAGCTACGATATTAAGTTTCTGGAAATTAACTTACTCCCAGAGAAGACACGACCAAGAATCGCCAGCTCTCTCTCGCAGATCTTGCAAGTAAAGTAAGTACGTCTTTACAATTTTCACATATCCACAACCACTAACACTAGCACTCGAATGACGCCACTGCTTACTGAATGCAACTACTTCCTAGCCCGGCCACGAGTTCAATGGAACACGGCTGCACCAGGCCAAGGCTGGCGCGACTCCCTATTGGTCTAGGCCGATAGCAACGTCACGTACCTGTCGCCAGAACCTACCTCACCGCCACCTACAGCCCCGCCGAGGTGTAACGCTGACGAACTCGGCCAAACATTCCTGTTTTTATTTCTATTATAAGGGGAAATTTTATCAATCACGCCATTCGCAGTTTCAATATTAAGTAGCACTCCTTCACACAGCACACACATTTTCTCAAAGGCATTCCTTTATCTGACATCCTACTTTCATCCTTAAGACATTTAGCATTCTCTCACTGCCACACAATGACACTCCCCATACACGCAAAAAAATTACTCACTCCAAGAATAAATATTTCAAACTTTTGTCATAAACAACTATATTTTTTTCCACATTTAATGTACATGTAAAAGGAACACAGAAAGTAGTGGCAGTGTTTAGCAATAATGAAGTTGATTAATAAACATATTTAGTGAGAATGCTACTTAATGTGTTACTATGCTTAACTAATGACCACGTAGATTTTACATGTAGTCATATCCTATTCTCAACAATTCATCGCCTTCTGCTACTAATCTATCACTTACTATTTATTTAATCACTCAAGACAGCAGTATACCAATCAAATTTACATTTTTTAAAAACAAATTTATTAAGTTAATGCGTACCCTAAGCCCAGAAAAACAAGTTTTGGAAGAAAATTTTAAATCTCTAGAAAAATCATAAAATTCTTACATATTTTTAAACTTCACAAAATAGTTTGAGTACTTCCAAATACGTTATAATAAAATATCTGGATGATACACATTTTCAGAAATTTATTTGTTCAGTTTCCAGCTGAGAACCTATACACAAGTCTACTGCAGCCTAATAAGGCTGGATGTTTTTAACAAGATATCATAGAAGTGTACAGGTTCTTCCATACAATATACAGAACATTTTGTAATATGTAACTTACTAATACAAGGTTAACACATAGTATATGTTTAAGCAATTGTTAATCATTAATGTAAATTGTGTCAAGCACTTTCCTTTTTTTGTTTTTTAATATCAAAATTGTTAATAAAGTGAACACAATAACCTCAAAGATTCCAGTTACAATGCAGATTATGATGCCCATGTGTCCAATATTTAACTTTTCTAATTGAATACATGGTATACCACTCCCTTGTCATCTCTTACCATAAACAGCTTTATAAAGCCCTTACACATACATAGATAAGTAATAAAAAAAGCTGTGCATTACTATAAAGCTCTTAATGATGAAATGAAATGTATATAATTCAGAAAAACACATAAAACAAAAACAAATAAAATAATTATATTTCAGATGATGAAATAATGATATCCACTATGCCTAATCTGCAGTTTTGCAGTAGAAAAATGGGGATGTTGTGGACAGCCATGGATGTGACAGGCCAGCCCTGTAATCACTGTTAACGCTGCATAAAAAATGAAGTGGAAAAACTGCAGAAGAAATCAGACATTGCAGGAAAAAATTGAAGCCTGCCACACACACTAACAGATTGTGACATACTTTCTTTGTTCCTTTCGAGAAATTTGTCTTACATATGTATTATGACTCAAAAACATTATGAAAATGACTGTACACTCATCGAAAACTACAAAAAAGAATTACACCACATATCAAACAATATTGGAGACTACACAAAATGAGCAAATTGGCTCTAGATGACAATTTGTTCACATGTGAGATTTGTACAATTTTGATAAATCAGGACTTTACGAAAACACACACTCTGGTCATACTCACTTTATAAATTACATTGCCACAGACAGCATTATTCTCACACGACTAGTGGCTTATACCTCCAATACTGTTTCAAATCAATTACAGTGGTTTTTGTATTTGTAAATTTGTATGAACAATTTTGAAAAGGTCATTTCATTGAAATGGCCTCATCAGAACCCCATACATCCAAATAAAATATTAATCGCTCATTTATCGCAGAAACAGAAGAAACCATAAGACCACTCCGCATGCAATTGTTTGGTAAAACAGTTTTCAGAAAAAATAAAATAAAAAATGTGTATGCGATGCACCTCATGTTTTCTTCTCAACAATATCTGCGACAATAAAGCAATCTATTAGATATTTCAGAGGTAGCAAAATCTAACTATAAAATAGTTTTAGAAACATCAAATTGTGAAACTATAATCACTCAAAAACAGTAATCTGCTTTTTCTGTTGTACTCTGAAATCATTAAGAAAAAATATTCATGATAACAAAGATTTAATGGCACAACAGAATTAGAAAATTCATCTCAAATAAGAGAACTGCTGATATTGCCAGCATAGCTGTACCATTTGCAATAATATAATCTGTTATGAAAATAAACAAATTACATGTATTATAACATGTAAAGCAGTCTTTATTGACAGTTTCAAAAATAGTATTTGTAGGAACGTGGCAAAAAACAACCCTCCCATTTTCAAAAAAACACTTTCATCTCCCATTATCTTCAATCCCAACCAAACTTAGTAACTAGCAAATAATCACGAAATTACTTCTTTAAATCAGCGATTCAAAGTTAACTAGAAAAATCACATCACAAAGATGAATTCAGGGTACACCTCAGATTACTGCTAATTTAATTTCTGGAAAGAATACATCAAAATGACATTACTTCACTGAAGTGCACAGTACCTCGTACTCTTCTAATACAAAACTCATGATTCATTCATGTAAGATTCAAAGTCTCATCCTTCTGACTGCATACTTGCGGCTGCCAATTCAGTGCAGTCCAAACACCCCCACAGCACCTTCTAACCATACATTGCCATAAACACTAGAACATATCTTCCCCCCTCCCTTGAAAACAAGGGTTATGGTCTCTCCAAAGTTTGTATAATCACATTTCGATCTTAAGATTCAGATGTAATTTCATCTTCATTTCACATCAGTCTGCATCTATCTTCCCCTTGTGGGTCACCCTGAAAGTAAAAATTTTAATGAGGATTATTCCAAATCAGGAATTTTGAAAAGAATACATAAAGATTTCACAGATATATCAATCATATATTGCCAGTTTTTATAAGATGTGAAATTGAAGAATGATATAAGTGGATTGTGTGTATGCAGCCTGAATTAACAGCAGAATATGAACACAATACTACCAGCTTACATTGCAATCAAACTAATATGAATCGTAATTCTGATTGTGATTTCCAGAGTCTGAGACAATGTTCTTTAAAATTTAATTTATATAAATAATTGAAAAATAAATCTAGAATGGAATTGGTATATAAGGAAAAACAAATTATACAGGGATCTCAGAAATGAATAAACATCTCAGAAGGATTGGTGAAAAAATCATTTAAAAAAATCAATATTCTTAATAATTAAGGGGCACAATTCATCATGAATATTTAGAAGTTCACTAAAGCAATGTAATCAAATGAGAAAAACTCAAAAGTGGAACAAGAAATATTTTCTGGCAAACTTCATCTAACTCTATTAATGTGAAGTTCATATTTAAGTAATGTCTGGCTGCTTACAACTGGAGCAAGGAAATAGATTAACCAAAGGAAGCCTCTGATAAAAGTTCACTTAAACCAATAGAAAAACACAACTTTATTATCCTTTCACTTCACATTTTGTAAAAAATATTTTACAGGTTGCCTGTAAAGCATTCATGCTTAAGAAACAAGCCTGCATACAACTTCCTCAGCATTGTTCACACGTGCATCCGCACTGAGTAACAAACATCCCACCCCCTTTGCAATAACGAAGAATGTTAATAAATACATTACTAGATGCCCAAATTGTATTGATAAGTAATGAAGGTCAAGTGTATTTTCTGGTTCATCTTGCTTCATTTTAAATAGCATTTTTAAATGAAATTATGTCCTTTCATTTATATTCAAAAGCATTTTCTTGTTAAAGGAAAATCAAGTAATAAAATGAACACTAATTTTCAACATTCTTTATTTTAAGAATTTTATTTTATCACTTTTTAATTTGCAATGTTTCTACTGACATTGTAATCTATCACCAAGATATTCTAGGTATACGTACTCCATATTGCATAGAGCACAAAGTACATGTATATTACATAACAATTAAATTTTTTGATTATGAATTACATGTATACATATTCAAAAGTTATAAGAAAATAAAATACATGCCAGAAGTAAAAAATATTTATTCTTTCCAGGGGAATTCATATGCTGACATGCAAGTCAGGAAAGTAATATACCAAAAGAATTATCATTAAATGCAAAATCTTTCTCTGGAATAATTTTTAAGAATTTTTGACTATTTTCTAAGAAAACTAAATTAATGCAAAATGAACATGATCACACAAAATGTGCCCAAAGCAATTATTTATTACATAAAATGAAAACTTTAAAGAAGTTCTTATTCCTTCTCATTTATATATCTTTCTCTTTCAGCCTGAGAAAAATAAACAACAGCTGACTGCAAATATGGGCAAAGGATGCTTTGGAAGCAAATGTCCTGCAAAACCAAAGTGTTTTTATCTAGTAAGATGGAGTGCTTAAGTTCAGTCCAAACTGATTACATATATTAATACTGTTTGGTATAAAATGCTTTTTGAAGATATATTTCTTTTTCCACACTCCTGAAATTCTGACAAATACTCAATTAGCGCAAAATGTCACAAGCTAGGATTCCATCTATTGCCTGCATCAGAAAAGCTGCTTTGAAAATTAATTTATGAACTTCATGCTTTACACAGGACATAATTAATCAATGCTATCCTAGAATGTCAAGTGCTCAAGTACAGACTTCCCAATACAATCCTTTTCACTCACAAGGTGTACAAGTTGGAAAAGTTTGGAAGATACACAATTTAATGATGCCCATTTTACAAGGAACCAGTTGTCTTAATTGCAAGCAGAAGAAATTTTACACCTCCAAAACAGTGTATTTGTATGTGAATTCAGTCACATGAATTTCCCACAACATTTTATATTAATTCCTGGGTAAACCAAAAATGTAGATTCACACATGTCACAGATGATTCCTTGTAAAACAGACTTAAATATACGTTACATAAATATCAACTAGCTGGCCAATTTGACCTAAATTACTTAAAAGCAACTTTTGAGCTCAATACCAGAGCATGACAAAATATCTTCACTTTATTAGCAGCACATATCAGGGTTCAGCAAAAACACATTACACAAACTTTAAAAAATCACAGTATGTTATTACAGTAATTTAGTTTGACTCATTATGTTAAGCATGAGTAAACTTTGCATCATGTCAGCTCACAAGTCCACTACTAAAATTATTCTGAAATAATATTTCTAACAGAATAACTTAAGCCTTCAACTTAAAGATCTCAAAGTTATCCAAAGAATACAATACTTTGGGTTAGTTTCTTCTAGAATAGTTGCATCATGCATATTCAATTATGAAACTTCAGACAACACAAAACTAAAATGATCTGAAATCTGAAGATCTCAGAATGAACTAAATAATTTATGCCAAGGAAATGAGACACGTATTTCTCTACTATTGCCTCCTAACTGAAGGATGTATGAATCATACTGATACATCAAGTACAACAGAATCAGCAACCCAAAGAATGCACACAATACAGGAAAACTTACCATCTGGTGGAAAAGCTCTTCTTTCTCAGAGCGCAGGGAATAACCAGAAGTCTCACGATGACGAGAAACTGAGCTCGAAATCTGTTGCCGAGTGCGCTCATGAATGGCCATTTCCTAAAATACACAAAATTACATAATTATTTAATTAACTTATATTTCAATTTGTTTTCCTTAAATCTTAAAAGTTCAAAAAAAAATTGTCATTTAGTTTATAATAATTTCTGTTTACATTCAAATAAGACTCCTGAAGAAGAATAAAAGTGCTTCTAAAAGCGATAAGAGATAATTATTTTTCAAAAATTTACAGTGTGTTTCAATAAAATTCAATGTAAATTATGTTGTTGTGTTTAAAATAGAACTGGACAAAACAATCCAAATATAACAGTTTACTAACACTAGCTAAAGAGCAACAACTGTATGATAAACATGTTCCTGGGAGAAATAAAAAAAGAAGGAAAAAAAGTCAATAAGAGTAGCCTAATAAAATCGTTCTAGAACTGTACTTCTACTAAAAAAATTTAATACAAAAATCTTCTGTGGCTTTTTCATTTAACATTATTTCAATATTTGTCATAAGATATTTAAAAAAAGTTAGTTCTTGTGATTCTAACAAAACTTTTGAGCGTTACAGTTCAAAAAATTTGCATCAAAATGTAATCATTTTTGAAGAAAATAAATTTATATACAATCCTTTTTTCCTTCCATGATTTACACTTCTAAAATATTTGAGTAAAACATGAGACAAGCTAAATTATTATTTCTGATGATTAAGTTGTTTTTTCATTAAAAAATATTACATTTTTTTACGCATAAATCTATTCTTATTATTTAACTATCGCCAAGGTTTATTATGTTTATTTTTTATAACCATGGGACCTTTGGAAATGATACCTAGAAGAAAAAATATAGGGCCACTTTAATATATTAACACACACACATGTATACAAAACATACATACACAATTAGGGAATTTTTAATTCCTACTGAACAGAAAGAAAATTCACCCATTCTCTTACAGAGACCCGATAAAAAATTAAAGACTATCACTTGATCTGCAATTGGGAAAACCGTACAGACAAGAGAGGACTTCCAATAAAAAAAAATCTTCCTTCGCGGGTATATAAAAAAATCGCTTCCAAATGCGGGAACGTAAAAACAGGGTTTTACTGTACATCCCAGATCTTTCTCAAGACCTGAATTATTATTCCTTAAGCAAGTAAGTTACACTTAAAAAGTCTGTACTTAATACATTCAGAAGCTTGACCAAGCAAAGATAGATAATCATACCTCGCCATTGGGGTTTATTAAGGTGGTGTTCATGCTCTCTGCAATAACCCACTTCTGACTCTTCATCACGATGTTGGAAGGTGGATCATGAACTTGTCCAGCATCGGAAGACCACACAGTGATGGCAGAGCCAGGCTCTATCTTCACACTTCGGTGAAACTTGAATGTAGTTTCATTGTCACCGGCACGGCGCACCACCTGCCAGCCTCCAATTGCTGCTTCCTATAAAACCAATTTTGAAAGGTAAGTAATGATAAAACATCAATAATGAAAATACCAACAAAACAGAATACTTAAAGTGTTCAAAATAAACTCTTTATTCAATCATTAGTTAATGAAAGTTTACTTAAAAATTTAGATCGTAAGTTGTTTTTACTATTTAGACAAAATAAAATTGTTTATCTTCAAATATTCTACAAAATTGCCTTAATGAGGTTTTGCCTGAACTACCGCTTTTGTCACTACTATATTAATCTTCACATGTATCATTGTTTCTTTCTGGTTCTACTCCCATACCAGGTCATCCACTCCACATTTGCCCATCCTCCATCTTCCGAAAATTTCGTTTTCCATTTGTGTTCTTGGGTCTTTCTTCTGTAGGCGCCCATTCAACATTCCTTTCTGCGTCTACAAATTTTCTTTCTTCTTGAAGTGCACTTACTGTGGTCTCTAACTCTTTAACAACCATTAACTTTAAATGCATATGATCTTTGCACCTATGTTCCACGGGTAGCATGGGTAGAGTCTTGTTATTGAAGTTTGTGAAGATTTTGCTAAGAAAATATACTTTTAATTATTTCATTATAACATTACTTTTAATCCACACTGTGGTTGGATGTGGAAGGTGTAGAACTTCTTCCAAAGTGAATTTTTTCCAATTTGATCATTTGCAACTGCAATTTCACATTTGCCATATGCCAAACCAAAGGCTTCATGGCCTCATCAATTTCAGCAAGGTTTTTCATGCTTTATCACATTGCATTTCACTTGCTACAAAGCTGTTCATTTGAGATTATTTCTTTCCCTACCTACTAAAAGAGATCAATCTGAATTGGGTATTGAAGACATGGTCGGTTTTTATTGCAACTTGGTATGTTAACATTCGAGTTGCTTGGTGTGAATACCCAGTTGAAAAATAGAAATCTTGACCAATCATGATTAATGGACAAATACAAGACAAACTTCTATTTTTCTAATGATATATTTAGGGAAAAAATGACATCTTACACTGAAGTAAGTAATGCATACTAAAATGCACCAAAACAATTTCCTAACTATAATATAAAAGCCTTTGGTATGTACATTAAAATCAAAGGAAAAATTCTTAAATATTCACTATATTTTAGTCCACAAATTTCATTTCACGTGGTTTGAAATGTACCTCTATTAAATATCTTAAACCTTAAAGGCAAAAGTGGCAATCTGACTAATAATTAAGTCCTTAACTTCAACATCACTTCTTCAAAAAAAAAACTATGACTGATATTTTGGAACACGCCAGTAAAGAGAGAATCTCAAGCATATTGCACAGAAGTAAGTCAAGCACAACCTGAAAATTCATGGAAATCATGGCAAACATTCTGTTGAGTTACAGGGATTACAAGTTTGAAATGCACAACTCAATTGTACAGCTGTTAAAAAAGAGAGACTGCACTACAATATAGCACGAAGAAAATTGGTATTACAAAAGAGAATGTTATTATGGGACAGAAGATGAAAAACAAAGAATGCAATTCGATGTACAAAACTTTAAGAGCTGGTATGGAATGAGGATCAGAAAGAAAGAAACAAACAATGCCAGAAGGTATGACAATGATGATTTAAAGGAAAAAACGAAGAAATACCAAACAGAGAGGATTAGCTTTTTCATCAACACAATAACTTTATAGAGTATTTACAATTTTATCGCTACTCATTAGTTACAACTAGTTAAAAATGAAAAAAAAAAATCTATAAAAAATTAAAACATTGAAGGGGGGTGGGGGTGAAAAGCTCAAGAGGCTTCTTCAAAATTATTACTTTGAGCAATCATAAGTGTACAAATCTATCCCTTTAATCCCCCTTACAATTTCAATTCTCCAATACTAAGTGATAGGCATTTTCAAATTATTGGTATTGCTGGTAACTTCCAAATGGATTTCAGCAAATATGTTTTTCTAACCTAACAGTCTACCCCTGTTTCTCAAGCAGTGGGTCGCAGGCAATGAAACTGGGGTGTTAGTAATCATATTAAGCAAAAGGCAGTTTTATGTTTCATTTCAAGACATCATCATTCACATGGGGGTTGCCAGAGTTCTTCAGCTATTAAGTTTATTTTTTGGAAAATAAATAAATTTAATAATTTCCTATGCCATAAATAAATAGTGGACAAAATTTATAAGGAAATTTTATTTTCTAACCGTATAAGTTAGCGTGAATTTTGACACACTTTAAATCTATGTGTTTTTGTAATTTGTAATACCCGGTTCACATCTATTAGAAAACACAAAAAAAAGCACATAAAATTTCTAAGAAACATTTTAGTTTGTTTTATAATAGCCATTTATTGAAATACTTGACACCATTTTGTCTGACCAGTTTTGGAATGTCAAGTTCAAATCGTTTAACACACAAAATAACATTGTTTTGAAGAGACAATCTAATTTTTATAGTTAGATTTTCTTTAAAAGGAATGTGAACAATAATCTGGCTGCAAAGTGATTTCAATTCAGAAGATACCAGTTTGACAGTTGTCGTATGTCAAGAGAAGTTTTCAATTGTTTGTGTTTGTTTTGTTACGGTCTTTTAACTCAATATTTAATTGATCCAGATGTCAGCCAAATAAGCCAGCTGACACAACCATTTCTGTGATGAATAGTTCAGCTAATTGGTTGTTACCAATTTGCAAAAATAACAGCGTATCTGACCAGAGTTCAATCAATCTATTTAAAACTTTCCCGGGAGGCAACTCACTTTAGTATGCAATTAGATATTTGTAAAAAGCACCTATATCTTCGCAAAGTTTGACAATTAAGCAAACATTTTAAGTGTCGACTAAGAATAAAATTTTCAACCTTAATTGCCTAATTAAGAAGATGGACAAATTCATTGGGGATTTTCTTGGAAGTGAGAGGATCCATTTTGCATTTGACATTACTGAATTAAGTTTTACACTAAACCATTTTTCAGTCCAGTTCATACTTTATTCCCATCACTGCAAATTGCAATGCAGTTTTCCCAATCTACCTTAATCAGTTGGTACAAATGCAGCTTCAAGAAACAATTTAAATAAACATTCTCCAGTTGTACGACAATGCCTTACAGAACAAAACATTTTCCCCTATTGAGCCATCTGATTCAAATCAAATAACACACCCTGTGATACATCCGTAAGACTAATCAAACTTAATAGAAATAAATTTGCTGCATTTTATTTTTCCCCGTATCTGTTCCTGAATGCTATCAATCATTTCACAAATATGTCTAGCTAACGTATCAATAGACAAGAGGATTATTTTCAATTTTCCTGCAGCTTGAGCACTTATTGTAGCAGATACTATATCAATTGCACTCTGTAACAGCACTTCAGCAATAGCATTTGGCTTACCTTCCTTAGCTAGTCTTACTGCAATTAGATATGATGCATGAAGAGCCTTATCACTACTATTACTAATGATTGTAATGCTCAACTATTAATTCTCAAATACAGAGTGTTTGTGCTGAAAAAACTCAATAGCTTCATTTTTCAGTTGGATATTTTGATTCCATATGATGATGAATTTTAGAGGGTTTCATACTTTTGGCAACAATTTATAAGATTGCAGCTAGTTTCCACATACCATACATCCAAGCTTTAAATGGGAATGGAAGTTTTTTTGTTTGCCTCTTTTAAACTTCTAGACTAACAGTTTAAATTTTTCCTTTTTTGAAATTTCTCCATTTTATAACCACATTAGCAGACAGAATAATCAGTGATCTCTGCTGCAAGGCATTTATATACACACAACCTCAAACTTTGTTTTCCTCTGTCATGAATAGTAATGATCACAAAACAACTATCAATTCTAGCCCAGTTTCCCTCAATACAGTTCACGCAACATAAATTTATACAGCACTAAATAAACCCCACAAAATGCCACTATTATTACATTATAAACAATGTAGGACCATGTTGCTCACACAACTGCCAATACAGGATTGAATTGAATTGAATTTGCCTTATTTTACGTGGCGAGACTCGGGCCATCAGGCCCGCTCTTCCGTCTGACCACGCAAATTTCACTACGCTCCTTTCACCAACTAGGAGAGAAAGGAGGTATTTCTTGGGCGAGAAACAGGTGATTTGAATTTAGCTCAGAGGCGTCATTTAGACTTGAGGATCTTTTACATGCAAGTAAATCTACGAACATGGGACAGCCGGCTTTACTTCCCCTCCGAAGGAAGGCGTACGAAGAATTTTTCGCCCTTAAAAATCCACGGCTTCGATCGGGTTTGAACCCGCCAACTTGGGTACAACAGTCCAGTACGCTAACCGTTACACCATCGCCGCCGCAGGATGGCATTGATTTAAGTTACAAAAAAAAGGGCTGTTGTTTTAATAAGATTGAAAAATGTAGGTCTATACTAATGAATTTTTACCTTCACTACAGGTACTATTAATTTTCTTTAATGGGAATACATCTACTACTAAAATGTACATGGTATTAAAAATAATTCTCACTAACCTTAGAGCCCTTATTAAAAAGTTTGATGTATTTTCCTTCAGCATCTACTTCCTTGATTTCAACATCTCCTTTAGCATGAGCGCTGGTAATAAAGTTAGCAACAGACGATTCTTCTGATTCCTCTAATGTTGTACGCTTGCGCTTGGATCCCCCAAGACGTACTGGAGTACGGCGCACAGGTGTGCGGGACATTCGCTGAGACTGAACATGGGCTTGAGATTGACTGGGGCTGATGTTCAATCTGAAAACACAAGACAAATATTTTTCAGTTTAAATAACTGTTACCCATATTAACACTATGGTCAAATGCAAGGGCAGTCCTCTGTGATACTTGTAGAACATTACAAGTCTCAAACTTCCTTGAAAATGTTTACAATAAAAAAATCTTGACCCCAAATTAGTTCCTCACTAGCATTTAGCAAGTATAAACAATAACTTAACATTGATAATGCAATGTTATGGCCGCAATGAACAAATGCAAAGAATGCAATGAACATCAAAATGGATAGCCTTCTTTACAAGAATACTAAAAGTTTTGAGTTACTGGGTTAAGGTATATTTGAAATATCGGAACTTTTTTTTTCCCCCAACAACATGCGTTTTATTTCAGAACCAAATTCGTAATACTTGTTTCCGACAACAACAAAGAAGAACTAGTGGAGCAACAGAATGGCACAGACTTTCCCATATTAGTTTTCTATTTCCATAGGTCTCTGGTTGCTATTTGGACTTGTCACATACTTTTGCCAGCTACCATCTATAGCAGCCCAAAATTTGGAGCCGTTTTTAAGAAAATGGCATTTGAACGCTACTATAAATCCAATATTTGAACCTCCTTTCACAGAAAACTATTTTTTTGAAAAAAGTCGTATAACGTTATTTTAAGCCCTTTCAGTCACAAATTCAATAGTGTTTACAAATTGTCTTTATTATAAAAATAAATAAATAAATTTTTTAAAAAAGGGTGATTTTTGAAAAAACAAATGCATATAGCAAGATTAATTCTTTGTCGTCTTAAACAGAGCATTTAGCACTATCTGTTGGGAAAGTTTCAAGGAAAAAAATCTGTTGTGGCAGTTTTTGAGAAAATAGTGTTTGAGCGTTTCTAAAAATGCTGAAATTTGAGTTCCTTATCACAGAAATCTTCAGTTTTCAGGAAACTTATTTAAAGCACATACACTCATAAATACATTAATGTAAAGAAATTGCCGCTAAAGTAAATATTAACTATGTGAATGACAGCCAACAAAATTACATTTTCGAAAATTTTTAAAGAGCAAAAGAATAGAGCAATATAGCGTTTATGTCATCTTATAGAGTTAATTTAGTACTATTCCTACCAAAACTTTAAAGAAAAAATTTGGTGCTATTTTTGAGATAATCTTTTTGTATTTTTTTTTAAATTGCAACTCTTTAATGCAATATTGCTTGGAAACTATTAAAATTTCAAAAAGAAAAAGAAAAAAAGAGAGAGTACATGAGATTCTTGAAAGAACTCGCTACAGAGAACAAATTTTATTCGAAGGAAAAAGGTCTTCAATTTTGTAATTGTAGGAAAACACCCCTAAAAAATTTTACAATCCATTTAAAGAATAAATTTAGAGCTGTTTTTGAGAAATTTTGAAAATGTCCAGGGGTCTTCATGCAATGTACTGCCAAATAGTAAAGAATTTTTTTCAAAATCCCAAAGCCTTGACATGAGTCAGACGGACAGTGGTTTCTTCACTTTGGAAAACATCCTACATATGGTTTAGGTACTAGCGGTGTTCACAGATGGACCAACAGACAGGATGATTTGAAAAAAAAATTTTTTTAGGAGGGGCGTGTATCGTGCTCGAGATTGACAGGAGAAAAAAATATTTGAATGGCAAGTAAATCGTGTTGCCCAACATACACACTTTTTGGCAACACATTTTGCCCCCAAACAACAATCCATATAAATTAATTGCTCATACCTTGCTTCTTCAGACTCCAGCAGTTTGCGGTAGGCAGCAATCTCCAGGTCTAGAGCCACTTTAATGTCCATAAGATCTTGATATTCTTGAAGAGCCTGAGCCATTTCATCCCGCAGAATTTGAAGTTCATCTTCAAGTCTCTTGCGCTCATCTGCATGACGCATACGTTCATCGCTCAAGAGGTTCTCCAACTCTCGTAGGCGTGTCTGCACAAATCAGAAAGGGCAAATAGAGTTATTCTATTTTCTATTGCATACTGTTATTTGTATTTAGTGAGAAATAATATTATTTTTTAAATGTTTTGTAAATACAATTTTTTATTTAGATTTTCTTTTTCTAAAACAATAGAATGTTAAACACCTTTATAATTTAAACATTATGTAATTTATTCCCTATTGAATTAACAAATCAGCCAATCTATCACAATCTACACAAACAAATTTACTTCAACCCTGAAAAATTCAAATAAATTGGTATTGTGCATGGTAACCTTAATTTCCTTTTTTATACACATTAATTATTTTTTCTGCACCTCTCTTGTTATAATGAAAAACCAGAAAATGGCAATGTGAAATCCTCATTATATGGCAATGTGAAATTCTCATTATATAAGTAGAACAAAGATTATGGTTAAAAGAATACCATCCTAGTATTACTATCGGGGATACTGAATCAGTGGAGTATTTTAACTCTCAAAACTTTGCCGCAACTATCCAAAATTTATGTTTCACACTAGGTATTATCTTGTTCAAATATGCAACTTGAAAGAGACATTGACAAAATTAAGCAAGCAAAGATTGATAATAATATGGAAGTTGTTAAAGCAATTGTGAAATATTATGAAGAGAATTATTCATGAAATCATTTGACAGTTTTCATTGATGCACTGAATAATATGAACATGGGAATGACTTCTACCCCAAGAAGGGTTACAAAATTAAGATCAAAATAACATAAAAACAGCCTTCATTAGAAAGCACCCTCCCACCCCTGCCCAATGTATTTTTCTTAAACCAATATATCATAATTAAACAATGAATATGTGACAATTTAAATGTCATCAGTTATTTTCTGACTCGCAGATGAAAGACAGCTCACAACATACCAATAATGCAGAATTTGCAGACTCCAATTCGGTGATACGAGCGTTTTGCTCATCAAGCCTGATACGACTCTGGCGCAGATCCTCCATTAAACCAGCTGTAGTGCCACTGCTTCTCTGAGCATGTGAAGTCAAGTTCTTGATCTAAACAGAATTAAAAGAAATGTAAATATTTAAACACAACCAATTGTTATTCAGCATGCACACTAGGAATTTTTTTCTTTCAAAATGCTGCCCTGAAAGCTCCTGTAGTTCTAAAGTATATCACAATATAACATTTCATTCTATTATCATCGTGGGGTAGAATACAAAGTGATGGAGGAAAACAACTTCTTTGTAAATGTATAACTTGAAACATTTACCCAAAACGATAGAGGTTTAGTTAAATCATTATAACACAAACCTTGGGTATGTGGTATTATTTTAAATATTACAAATTTAATTAGGAATTGGAATTTATTGAAGTACGTGTAATATATGCAAAACTTGTACATTTGTATGTATTTTTTCAAAAATATGTGAGAATAAAAATAGAAAAAATACAAAATAAAAATTAATGATGTTTAAAAGTCCCCCAAATCAGCTATTTTGAAATTTTTGAACACAAAATTTCCCCAAACACACCATAAAATAGATTTGCAGTGGCTGAACAAACATTCTACCCCTACAAATGTATTGGTCATTAGCTCACTAAAGAATGTGAGTTTTAGAAGAAATATAAAATACATATGTAGAATGTACAATGTGGTTTACGACAAGCATGTCCACTGTCTTATTGCATAGCCAATGATGGGATGCAGAGGGCAATAAGGGACCATGAACATTCCAAATTTTACATTCTTTATATTGTTTTTCTGTAACAGCATTGATTAGAAAGCCCAATGATCCAAGACCCAACAGTGCTGGACTTCGATGTTTGCTAGATTGCCGGGATGAATTCAATGACTACAAGAGGGAAACTCCTATTGGCTAACTTGTGATTGATCGTTTTCTGTACTTTTTCTTATTCAGGTGAATTTTTAGATCAGTACCCTAACAAACAAGCCATGGATCGGACGCAATCTTTACGTCCTCATCCCTGTTCTCTCCTGCACTTATCACTTTGATTCACTAGACTACAACACATATTGAAAGATCAATCGGGAGCGAAAAGAATGACCTGACTGGGGAGATTCAAACAGAAATACCCACTCACTCCAACAAGTTCTCTGGAAAAAATTACAACATACCTTTGCATCGTATAGCATTTCAATCTCATCACGATTGGCACGCATTTGGGCTTCATATTGGTCACGTAAATCTTGCAGCGCTTGTTGCAACCTAGCTTCATACTGCTCAGTTAGTCTTCCGTCAATTTCACTGATCTCAATCTGACGTTTCGTACGAGTTTCAGTTAACTCCTGGTTGAAAAGCTGTGAACAAATTGATTTAAAATTAACTGAGGGTATCAGCACAGCAAGGAATTAAAAAATGAGATAAGTTGGTTTAAAAGCAAAAATTGCATCTAAAGATGATTATGACGATGAAGCTATTAATAGAGATAAATAGACAGATTCAATGACATTTTGAAACGCAAAAATCTCAAGCTTCCACAGAACAACAATAACAATACTAATAATAAAACACTGGAAATCTTTTAAATATTTCATGCTATAATAAAAACTTTCTTCCCTATACCTGCTCCTTAAATGACAATTCTTCACGAAGAGACTGCAAGCTGTTTTCCAAGTCCACTCTAGTTAAAGTCTCCTCCTCAAGATTTCTGCGGAGATCCTCCACTTGTTTGCGTAGTGCTTCATTCTCCTTCTCCAATTCCTATTTGAAGAACAGAAGTCATAAATTTTTTTAAATTGTATTAGAGTAGACACTGAAGCAAAACAAATTATGACAACACATACTTGACTAAAAAAAAAATCCTAGCTTAGATTTTTATTTTATGGCAAATTTCAATTATTGAAATAAAATCAAACTGGGACGTAAAAAAGTAAATTTAATCTAGTTAATTTCTAAAAAAAATTAATATTAACATAAATTGTTAAGAAACAATTTTGATATATTGGGGGAGGAAATTAAAATATAACATGAAAATTCTACAAAAGAAAAGACTTATAAAACAAATGTCAAATTATCCTACCTTTAATTCATCCTTAATTTTCTGACGCTCAGCATTGGCCTGATTGTATTTTGTGGTCAAATCATTGCAACGACTCTCATAGACAACAATATTCTTTTCAGCATACACCAAATCTTTAGTTTTCTTGTCCAACCTGAAAAAAGGCAAGAATAAAAACATCAGCAAATGTGAACACGACGAACGGAATAAATAAACAAATCATCGCCAAAAATAACTTCCACCAGCTAGGCCTGTTTTTCGAATTTTCCAGTTACCGCTTTCGTCATTATCGAATCTATATTCGCGGATGACATCAACGCGGCCTCGCGCGTATCACTTAAAATAGGTAAAGGCCATCTCTAGGCCACACGGGCGCGAGCGCCTTCGCCGATACGGCGGATTCGAACACGTCACGCACGCGCCATGCGACCGGCTTGCGAGTTCGGCGGCAGCCCGAAGGCGCACGAGTCGGCCCGAAGACAGGCGCGCTTCCGGCGGTGACGTCACCCATTCATTTGCGATACACGCAGTGCCCGCGCGTCCCGCCAGAGGGGGACGCTAGCGCGTGCGGCGCCGCGCGATAGGATCACCCGCGGCGCCCCGTGGACAGTGGGCCGAAATCACCAGGGAAAATAAAACTTGCGCCAGATTCTTTCGTTTAAAAAGCTATTTTTTGTTTAAAAAAATACAATTATGCTAGATGGTTTTGACCTTAAGTATGTTATTGGATTTGACGTTCATTACTAATACAAATTATTCAGATAGTCTTTAGGCACCACTAGTGTAACAGGAACACCTTCATAAGACACTTTGGTATTCGATTTAATACATACATTTAACAACAATTCAGCACACAATAATATCGAATGAGTTAGATTTAACACTTCGGCGTACGACCTGGTTTGATTGTACAAATTGAGTTTTACCAGATTTCAACCTCACAGACGTACCTCACAGCGTTTTTAGCAATATTACTATTTTTCAGTACCCTGCAATAAAAGCATCAGAAAACGAGCAACATATTATTTGAGTCGAGAATACCCCTCTATTGCTCCCCCATATGTCACTGCTAGGATCATTAATCGCGTTAGTGAACTTAATTTTTATCGCGAGTTTAGTGTTATTCCAAGTTTGCGAATATTTTATAATATGAATGGAGGGGATAACTTAATTCTCGTTTGATAATTGGGGGCTTTGCCTAGTTTATAGAAGGATGTAGCTTGAATTATGAATTAGAGGAAGGTTAGTGTAAAAGTTGTGTGCGAGATAGGCTATTTGGTTTTTTATTGTGTTTATTATATATAATATTATATTTCTCGTGAGTGGTGGTGTTGCCCCCCAGGTATCTCCATCACAGAGAGCAGGTGATATGGCTCAACTGCTGTCACTGCAGTTCCCCTGACCAGGAGGTCCCAGGTCGACCCGGCGATCGCAGACTTTTCGACACTAGCTTGTCAGCTAGGTCAAATTCAGTTGCTGTCTAGAGGAGAATTCTAGCTGCAGGCTACGCTCTTCGATAATTTTCCGTGGTTTCTCCCATCAACACCAGGCGAATGCCGACACCCGATCTTTCCTACTTCTTCCTTGTCCTATCCTCACCCCTTACACACATACACTAACATCCACTACACGACCCACCGGGACGTCGGTCGGGAGCTTACATCCTGTCCCGGCTAGGGCGGTTCCCCGCAGGTGAGAGATACCTACATGCACTACCCTTGCGGAACTAATCACCTTAGTAGATGATACTCCCGGAATCACTAACAATCACCAGGGCGCCAGCACCATCCCAGACGGGTCAAGCTCTAATTTCCAAAATGTTCTCCCGATGCGTGGCAGCGTAGTGCATGGAAATGAGTCCAAGGGGAGAGGGCAGGAGGGCAAATGAAAAAGGAATGAAGGCGCGCAGTCCGTGGTCTGTTCGGCGTTTGCTCCAACCGGAGCCTCTAAAAACCGATCGTAGAAACCACGGAATTCTCCTCGGACAGCGGCTGAACTCTACCTGTGTCGACAATCCTGGCACCAATGGCGGGTCGAACCCTAGGACCTTCAGGTCAAGAGTCGCTGCACAGTCGGGGCAATGCCTCCCGCATGTAATAATTCCGGGCCGGGACAAAAGTGAATCTTTCTAATACAAATCGTCTTAAAGTGTAAAGTTGTGTGACGAAAGAAAGCTCAGGCAGGCCAAATTCGCAAGGTACGGTGACACGAATATGTTATGCTCGCTAGTGGAAAGACCCTTACCCCCTGGCGTGGAAATAAATTTTAAAAAAAGGACCCATGCATGGGAACACCGCTAGCCAGGAAAATTTAGTTAATTTCTTATTTCACGTGGCGAGAGTTGTGCAATCAGGCCAGCTCTTCCGTCTGACAAACTCCTGCGCGACGAAACAGGCGATTTAAATTTAGCTCAAAGGTTGCTTTTAGGCTTGAGGATCTTATACATGCAGTAAATCTACCATATGAAACAGCCGGCTTTACTTCCCTTCCGAAGACAAGCGTACGAGCGATTTCCCCCCCTTAAAAACCCACAGCTTTGATTAGGTTTGAACCCGCAAACTTGGACACAACAGTCCGATACGATAACCGAATCGGATTAATCTGACCCTAAAATGCAAAATAAACGTATAAGGGCGTAGTTCACGTTACGCACAGCTTTATTGCATCAGCGCGTGCGCAGAAGATCGATATAGTTTCCGTCATGGGGTGCACTAGCTCCATATACTCTTCCTCCGTTTGTTGCGAAAGTCACGCTTTTCGGCCCACTGCGCGTCAGCAGCAGCGCGCTCCGCCCCTCTCCACCCACGCGACGCGACGCGACCAACCGGCGAGCTGCCGCGGATGAATTCGAACGAAACGTTGCCTCAACGACCGACCGGCCGCTCCAACGTCCTCCTCTCCATCTTCCAGCGATTACGAAGGCGCCACGTCCGGGGAGGAGAGCGCCGATACGACAAAACCAATTCGGCGATGATGCGTTCCGCTATTCGGAGCGGTGAAACCAGCTCTTCCTTTTCTTTTTTTGACCGGTCCCATAATCGACCCTTGGGGTGACCGCGAAACCGGTTTTGGCATCTTTTTAATCCTTTTCTCGAGGAACAACAGACTTCGGTCATTTAAAGGCTGGAACGGGCACCATGCCAGTCAAGGTTGTTGCCACCTCAGCGCAAAAACAAAAGAAGTTGCAAAAGGTGAATAAACTCGCAGGAAATTGAAAGCTGTTTATGCACTTCGGATCGAATACATGAATTCTGGAAGCAGAGGTCTATCGGTGAAATCCTTGGAATGCGTTTCATCCAGTTCCGTTGCTGAAACATGGCTCGTTTTTTTGTATTCGAGATGACGCATCTTATGCGTGGCTGGCTGAATCACTCCGACAATTAAGCGGTTTCCCTTCGCAGACTGAGTTCTTTCTTATCTTCAGCATTCGCCACGACACATTCCATAAATCGCATTCACTGAACGAATGTAACATCCCAAGCACCAGCTACTACACTTGAAGCTGGTGGTTCCGAAGCAACTCTCGGTTCTCTGCAAGCCACATGCTCCAGTTTTGTTTTCTTATATTTTTTTCCGGACACAGATGCAGAACCAGGAATCGTCAGATTTTATAGTAAGTTTCTTTCTGCCGTAGGAGTCGAGTAGTGCTGCTGCCTGGTGCAGTCCCCATCCCCTCTGCGCCCCGCCTATTAAAACAAGGGCGAGCGCCCCGTGGTAGGGCGTGGCATATCCGCCGGGAGCACCCCGTGGTTGTTTACACGGCGAGCGAAGGGGAACGGAGCATCAGAGGAGGGGAAACTAAAGCACCGCATGAGGGAAAAGACATCAATTACCTCAATAGTTGTAATAATTATAGGCAGAAAGCCTAAAAATTATTATTTACATAATAACAAAGGAACGTCATCATCATGAGGCATTAAGTGCGATAAAATTCTGGGCACACAATTATACATTAGGCGGCTCCATACACGCGGCAATTGGCGAATCCCAAGCAACCGCTCACCGAATCCCAAGTAGTGTGGAAGGGTTTCTTGCGATTTGAGTGCCACATCAAAGTTTCGGGATGGGGCAAGCAGTAGCTCGCTACTCTGCGAATGCCGAATGTGTGGAGCCTCCTTTATATATATATATATATATATATATATATATATATATATATATATATATATATATATATTCATATTCTTTACAATATTTTTAACGCAAGCCAGACCAGCAAATTTGAGGCCTTTCCTAGACCCCGCAGGGCAAGCTACTGGAAGGGTCTTTAAGAAACCCACACGAACACCACTGAACCATTTTCAATCAGCAACATTCAACGCCTTCGTAAATGATTAGAGTACAACCAGTTGAAAGCGAAATGTCACCTACAATGCATCCATCGCGAACGCCCCACGGCACAATTACGCGTGAACTTTCCAGACAAGCGGTTGGAAGCTCTCAGGTCGCAGCCGACAGGTCGGCGGCACTAGAGCGGCGGAAAATTTCTGGCATTCGGGCGAGCGAGCACGCGCAGGTAAAAAATCCGTGACACAGAAACGTCGCCGTCTATTCTCGAGGAATGACGTCACCCGCTGGAAACTACAGATAAAGCGGCGACCGCGTCGCCAGGGCAACCCGGAACGGGCAGGGCGGCCGCCCCCATTGCACGCGAGTTCAACCCCCCCTTCCCCGCTCCTTCCTTCGGCCGGCGCACCCTGGTGGTAATGGCGAGGGAGGGGGTGTCGGCCGCAGCGGGCGTGCAGGGTTGCGCAACGTTGCAGAGAAACAACTGGCTGGCAGGCTGGCTGGCCGCCTTTAAAACGCTATACTGGCCCTCCGGCGCGGAGCGTCTGGTCTGTCTGCTACAGGACGGGCAACTGTACTAAAAACGAGCGGCAGCTCCAAAGTGTCATGGCAGAAAGTCGCTGTATTATACTGAGTTTTAGGTTAGGGGTAAAATTCTGGCGAGAAGTTGAAAACGTGGTTATATTTTACACAATGGTACCTGTTTTCGATGAAATTAAACTTTAAGTTATTAGTAATTATTCAATTTAGTATGTATTGTAGTGCTGACTTCTCTCACGCATTTTTTCCTTCGTCCCATTAATTTAATAACTCTGGAGTAAGGAAAGCCTGAACCAAATTTTGTGACTAAAATCAAATTTTACTAAATCAAATTAAATTAAATTTTTCTACAT